TATCTAAATTATAAAAGAAAAAATATCTCAAATCAATTAGACAATTCCACCTTAAGACACTGGAAAAATGAGAGAAAATGAAACCTAAAGTAAGCATAAAAAGTAAGTAATACATTAAATTTAGAGCACTAATTAATGCAATAAAGATTAGAAAAAGCATATCAAAAGTTAATAACCAAAAGTTGATTCCATGAGAAAAACCAGCACAGTGGACCAAATTTCAGCTAGATTGGCTAAGAAAAAAAAAGACTCATATTCTTAAAATCAAGGATTAAAGAGGGAATATTATTACTATCTTACAGAAATAAAAAAATATTATGGAGGAACAGTATGAAAGATTGCATGCCATGGACAAACATTAAATGGACAAATTTCTAAAAATATATAAACTACTGCAACTGACTCAAAAAAAAAAGAAATTTTTTTTTTTAACTCTATTGAATTACTAATTTTAAAACTTCCCAGGAGAAAAGCCCAGGCCCAGATGACTTTACTAGTGCATTCTACTAGTTATTTAAAGAATCATTATTTATTCAAACGATTATTACAGTTACTCAAAACTTCTTTGAAAAAATAAAAGAGGAAATAATTCCTAGCTCATCTATGAGATTAGTTTTATACAGATACAAAAACAAAAGGTATCACAAGAAAATCAGACCTATATCGATTATGAGCATAGATACAAAACTCTTTAACAAAATACAAGCAAATGAAATATGGATACATACACAAAGGATTACACACTCACTATGACAAAGTGGGATATATCTCAGGAAAATAATGCTAGTTTAACATCCAAAAAATAATGCCCCATATCAATAGAAAGAAGAAGAAAAACCACATGCTCATCTCAATAGAGCAGAAAAAGCATGTAACAAAATCCCAAATCCATCTATGATTAAAAAAAAAAAAAAAACTACTCAGTAAACTAGGAATAGAGGAAAACGTCAACTTGATGAAGGGCAGCTACAAAGAAAAAATAATAATACAAAATCTCAGCTCATATCGTACTTAATGGTGAAAGGAATGCTTTTCACCAAAGATCAAGTACAGCGTAAGTGTGTCCACTTTCACTACTTCTATTTAACATTATACTGGAGGTTCTAGCCTGGGAAATTAGATGAACAAGATAAATTTTAAAAATTATGACAGCAAAAAATGGAAAACTTCTTCTATTTACATATGACGTGATTTGGTATGTAGAAAATTTAAGTAATCTAACAATTATAATAAATTAATTTAGCAAGGTTGCAGTATACGAGATTAATATACACAAATTAATTGCATTGTTATATGCTAGCAATGAAGAATCCGAAAATGAAATTAAGAAAACAATTTTATTTATAATAACATTCAAAAAGAATAAGATACTTGGGAAAGAATTCAATGATAAAGTATAAGACTTGTATAGTGAACACTATGATGCTGTAATGTAATACTCTGTATACTACAAAACGTTGTTGAAAGAAATTAAAGAAGACCAAAATAAAGGGAAATACATCCCATGTTTATGGATTAGAACAACTGATTTGTTAAAATGACAACACTATGAAATTGATCTATACATTCAATGTACCATCTATCAAAATTCCAAATGGCTTTTTTTGTAGAAACTGATATGATGATTCTACAATTCATATGGGAATTCAAAGGAATCAGAATAGCCAAAAGAATCTTGTAAAAGAACTAAATTGAAGAACTCCCACTGATTTCAAAACTTATTTCAAAGCTACCAAAAACAAGACAGTGTGGCATTGATACAAGGATAAACATATAGATCAATAGAATAAAACTGAGAGTTCAAAAGTCAACTACTTAATTTCAGCAAGTAGTGCCAAGCTAATGCACTAAGGACATTGTATTAACTTAACATAGGTCATAAACCTAAATAGAAGAGCTAAATCTATGAAACTCTTGAAAGGAAACGTGAAAGCAAACTTTGTGAACTGCCGTTAGAGAAGACATTAAAAACAAACAAACAAAAACTGGCAAGAGAGAAAAATAGATAATTTGGACATAAGTATAATTAAACATTTTTGTGCTGAAAATAATAAAATCAAGAAAGTGAAGACAATCCATAAAATGGGAGAAAATATTTGTAAATCGCATATCTGATAATGTACTTATATCCAGACTGCACAAAGAATTTTTAACTCAGTAATAAAAATATAAATAGTGGCGTTTAAAACAGAATAATGGATCTAGACATTTACCCAAAGAAGAGAAACAACGGGTCAGTGAAGACATGAAAGGATGTTCAACATTTTTAGCCACTGCAGAAATGCAAATCAAAACCACAGTGAGATACCACTTCAAAACCACAAGGATAGTTATAATGAAAAAGACAGATAATAGCATGTATTGGCAAAGATGGAGAGAAATTGGAACGTTCACCCATTATGGGTGGTAATGTAAAATGGTCAAGCTACTTTGAAAGAAATATTTTCGCAATTTCTCAAAATGTTAAACGCAGTTATTTTATCATCCAATCATTCCATTCTTAGGTATATACCCAAGAGAAATAAAAACATACCTCCACATAAAAATTTGTGCATGAATGTTCATAGTAGCATTATTCAGAATAGCCAAAAAGTGGATGCAACCCAAATGCCCGTCAGTTGCTGAATGTATAAAAATGTGGTATAGTTATAAACCCCATTATTCAGCAATAAAATGGAATAAAATACTGATACAGACGACAATATGGATGAACTTTTAAAACATTATGCTAGGTGAAAGAAAACAGATGCAAAAGGCCACATATTGCATAATTTCATCAATGCGAAATGTACAGAATAGACAGAACTATAGAGATAGAAGATAGATTAATGGTTGCTAAGGCTTAGGGTGGGGAGCAGAGGGAGAATGGGGAGATGATGACTGAAATGTACTGGTTGTCTTTGGGGGTGATTAAAACATAAAACTGAATGTGGTAATTGCACAACTCTGTAAACAAACTAAAAACCTTTGTATTACATACTTCAAACATTGAATTGTTTGGTATGTGAATCAAGTTTAACAAAGCTGTTAAAAACTTCTAATTTCCATCAATTAGTCAGGCGATATACGTTTTAATCTCTTAGTACTTTTAGAAAAATGATTCAATAGAGCAGCATTTATCAGCATTGTCACTGTTGATATTTTGGGCCAAATCATTATTTATTGGGAGGGGTGGGAGGCTGTTCTGTGTATTTCAGAATACGTCACCCTTGGCCTTTACCAGCTAGATTTCACAGCATCCCTTCCCTCAGCTGTGATAACCAATTTCCAGACTTTGACAAATGTTCCTTGGGACTCAAAATCACTCCTAGTTGTAAACCATTGTATGCAGTGTTTAACAGCAGTAATTGGGTTAAATCTGAAGCCTTCAGCTTCCATTAACACTTTGTGAAAGGAAAATATCATGGGCCCATTCAAGTTGGGGACTGCTCAGGGCAAATCTGCTTCTCATTCTATTTCAAAGTCATCCCTCTGCTCCCAGAGATAGATACATATTCTGATTGCCTCCTTTTGGAAAGGCTTATCAGAAACTCAAAAGAATGCAATTTTTTTGTCTCTCACCTACCTGTGACCTGTAAGCCCCCTCCCTGCTTTGAGTTGTCTTCACCTTTCTGGATGGACCGAATGTACTTCTTATATTTATTGATTAATGTCTCATATCTCCCTGAAATGTGTTAAACCAAGCTGTGCCCTGACCACCTTGGACACATGTCATCAGGACTTGCTGAGGCTGTCAGGGACACACGTCCTTAACTTTGGCAAATAAACCTAAAATGATGGCGACTCGTCTCGTCTTTTTCCCTGATTGACATCCGATAACCATGCAGGGATCCTGACTGCAGGTGACCTGGCCTGCAGCAGCTTGCCCATTAGTGCTTGGTACTGACTTGGGCACTTTGTAGCCCAAACCAACAGGACAATTGCTGAAGTCCTGGACCTCTTCCCTCCAGGGATCCCTGATCTTCCAGTGTTTTTCAGTTGTCGGTCTGAGGTTTCATTGCTGTTTAAAGTACTTTCTTTTTGCGGGGAGTTTCCACTGGCTTCCATCAAGGAAGGTGAGCCTGCTGGCTTCTGCAGCAGCAGAGAGCGGTTTTCAGTTTGGGCCCTATCAAGAGGCAGGAAAACCAGTTTGGGATTCTGTCTGGTAAATAACCAAAGTTAGCATTAACGACCTTGACAACTTTATATTTCTAGAAACGTAAACATTTGCCCTTATTTCTCACATTAAATCTAAAGAGAAGATTAGTATTGTTACTTTTGCCTTATATCCTGCAGCTAAAGGAGAACCCATTTAGGAAAATGGTCTGAGTGCAATTATAACTGACCTTGTCTGGGTCTCCACGTAACTATCACACTCAGCACTGTAACTTTAGTGAGTGTCCAGTAGTGAAGCAGGAAAGGCCATGAAACAAACCTCTCAAACACCGAACTGGGAAGGAAGTGGTGATTTATTCGGCTGGGAGCTGCGATGGCATAGATGCCTAACAGCCGAGCTCTCAACCAAGAAAATCCCTGCCCTTTTAAAGGCTTACAACTCCAGAAATCACATGTGAAAGGGTCTTGATCCATGAATTAGGTGTGGGGTACATGACTTAGGTGGGAGTTTGATCGGGTTTAAGTAAAAACAATGCCTTCCGGAAAGATTCCTCCATACCATATGTGTGATCTATAGATGGAATTGTGGTTAGCGGTACGGGTCTTATCCTTAACCTGGCTGGCAGTGCCAACCGGTCCCTCCTCTGACTGACTTCTGACTTCTCCTTTTGAGATGAAATGTAGAAGGCTGAAGAGGATTAAGGTTCTCCTTCCTCAGTAAAATATTAAAATTACTCACTGCACATTTCGTAGAAGGTTTTCCCACATAGAAGTATTCAGAAAAATGAAAGTGTGTTTATCTTTTATCAGTGTTAGATTGGAAATAGAATAAGTATTACTAATGACTATGCCAAGAAAATAAACCCAAACAAAATTTCATGGAAAGTAAAATGAAAATGTTTTACCTGCATTTAGTTGATTTTGGTAACTCAGCCACCAGATTTCTCCATCTGTGTTCAAGGACCTAAACAAAAATTATATTGATTGGAAGATAAAGTTAATTTCCAAGTAAAGCAAGAGGGTGTGTGAGTTATTCTATCACTATTTAAAACAAAGGTGAAAAAGGAACAAATGAAAAAAATTAACCGTGTTGAAACCCCAGGAGAAATCTGAATGAGAACTGTGAGTCCTGAAACGAAATGAGAAAAATGTGGCAAATTGGACGAGCGGGTGTTAAATCAGTAACTCATACAGGGAAATGCATCACTTTCACAAAGAGTTTCAGCAGTAAGAGGAAGTAAGAAAAACCACATTCAATATAATGATTTTTTAAAAGCTCACTTTCATACATGCACATTCATAAAAACATATTACTCATCGCTGAGTAGTAATACTCACTGTCATATGCTCCTTTCATATTATGAAAACTGGACATCTCACAGCGATGAACCTCTCCTCTTCAACAAAATAATGCATCCTTTCTTTCTATCACTGAGCCTACATGCTCATGAAGTATCCCCCGTAACCTCAGGAACATCTCCAAGGATCAATATACAGTCCGTGGCTTTGTATTCTGCTTTTCCACATTCCCCCGAATTAGCCTGCACTCTGGCTAACGGTGTACCCAACGTGTATTTTTCTTTTCCAACTTGCCCAATTCAAAGAAATAGTCACCATCAAAGTCATCACAGTCTGAACTGAACACTCTTTTTTTCTCTCTTCTGGTGGTAAATTCTACACCGGATGCTTTCATCTTGACATGTGTCTCATGCAGTGTTCCTGGTCCCAAAAGCCAGATGACCAGGGCCATGCGCAAAGGAGAATAGTATGTCCCTAGACACAGAGTCATCTGTTGTGCAAACCCATTCTGAACCCTCTGTGCTTTCACACTGCCCACTCAGACTGGCTCCTATTTTGTACTTCTGGGAAATCCCAGGACGCCGGTGCGGAGGAAACGGGCGGTTGAAGCAGCCCTCCCTGTAGTGTGTGTGGGCGCCTCAGTGCACATGTGCTCCTGTGCCTGGGTGCCTCTCTGTTGCTATGTGGAGCACGTGAGGTAGGAGGAGAGCCTTGATAATTGGTGGCAGCCAAACCATGTTTTTTTTAAAAACTTTTAGGCTTGAGGGTACATGTGAAGGTTTGTTACTTAGGCGAACTCATGTCACAGGGATTTCTTGTAAAAATTATTTTACTATTCAGGTATTAAAAGACCAATACTCAATTGTTAGCTTTTCTGCTCCTCTCCCCCTCCCTCCCTGTGCCTTCCAGTACACCCCAGGGTCTGTTGTTCCCTTCTTTGTGTTCATAAGTTCTCATCATTTAGCTTACACTTATAACCGAAAATGTGGCATTTGGATTTCTGTTCGTGGTTAGTTTGCTAAGGATAATGGTCTACAGCTTCATCCATGTTCCTGCAAAGGATATGATCTCATTCGTTTTTCACAACTGTACAGTATTCCATGGTATGTGGGAACCACATTTAATCTTTCACTGATGGGCATTTATGTTGATTCCATGTCTTTGCTATTGTGAATAGTGCTGCAATGAACATTCGCGTGCAGGTGTTTTTGTGGTAGAATTATTTACCAAACTGCTCTTCTCCACAGTCATTCTTGTCCTACAAGGAATTTCTAGAAGTCGTTGGAGTGGATCGGATTTAGACAAGCCTGTCTTACCACGCCCCAGAACCATGGGGAAGGTAGGGATGTGCGGTCGCCCACTCAGAGTTGGAGTTGAAGGTTCAGAAGGGCCTGGAGTTCCTTTTACAAAGTCCATGGTAACTCCATGCAAAGGCAAAGTTGACCTGGCGTGGTTCATTTTGTGTTTATTTTGTGTTGGGGGGTAATTTTTATTTAAAGTGTGAAAACAAACGAAAGGTGCTTCACCTTCAAAAAAAGACCCACCTGCTTAAAATGTTTTATGAATATAACATGCAGACTTCTATCCCTGCTTTTAATATTTTCCCCGTTTTTCCTCCTGTCCAGCTGTTGATACAGCCACTTGTTTCTTTCTTTTGAGGAAATTGAAAAACTAAACGGCGTTGGGTTACCAGAAGATATTTTCATGTGTCACTTGGAACAGACTAACACATATCAGCTTCCCTGAATATCTCAAATTTCACACGGCTCAAGCCGGTCCTCAAAACTCTCCTTTAAATGATCAACAACTCTCTCCTTTCTTTTTTTTTTTTTTTTTTTTAGTTTTTTTTATTGCATTTTAGGTTTGGGGGTACATGTGAAGAACATGCAAGATTGTTGCATAGGTACACACATGGCAGTGTGGTTTGCTGCCTTCCTTCCCCTCACCTGTATCTGTCATTTCTCCCCATGCTATCTCTCCCCACTTCCCCACCCCCCGTCCCTCCCCCATTTCCCCCCAAGGGACCCCAGTGTGCAGTGCTCCTTTCTTATTCCTGATCTCAGGACTGCTGGGCCCTTCCTTCCGGGTTGGTTATACTCATGCCATCTGCTGATTGTTAATGGGACTGCACCTGCTGCTGTAAGCCAAAGTACCATGGTTCTGTGCCCAAGTCCTCCTAGAAAACGGTGGCCTTGGTATTGGTGGACAAATTGAAGAAATATAGATATGCCATTTATCATTTAGAGCACGAAGAGGGCCATTTGAGATGTTAGCTTTATTTTTTAGGAGTATTTCTTAGAAGAGGATATGTTTCGTATTCAGCTCTCCAACTCTTCTTTATGTTGAATCTAAAAACACATTCGTGAGCTTAGCTTCAAAAACAATAACATTTTCATTCATACAAAACCTGAGTAAGAGAGCCGGGTGCGGTGGCTCAAGCCTGTAATCCCAGCACTTTGGGAGGCTGAGGCGGGCAGATCACGAGGTCGAGAGATTGAGACCATCCTGGTCAACATGGTGAAACCCCGTCTCTACTAAAAATACAAAAAATTAGCTGGGCATGGCGGTGCGTGCCTGTAATCCCAGCTACTCAGGAGGCTGAGGCAGAAGAATTGTTTGAACCCAGGAGGCAGAGGTTGCGGTGAGCCGAGATCGTGCCATTGCACTCCAGCCTGGGTAACAAGAGCGAAACTCCGTCTCAAAAAAAAAAAAAAAAAAAAAAAAAAAAAAACCTGAGTAAGAACCATAAACTTTAAAAATACACACTTTAGCAAAAAATTAAGTCTACAGAGGAAAATATATATCACAAGAAACTGTAGTAAGTAATTATTAAACACGTGTAAATCTAACAAGATTTGATTATGTGAAATAACTACAGTTGACTTAGAGACCATTAAAAAGTTCCAAGTAAGTAAAAAATATTAAAATGAGGTTCAACTAAATTATTATGTAGAAACTAAACTAAATTTCTACGATAACTACATCATAGAGGTGGGAGGGAATGGCTGGACTTACAGCAAATCTACTCGTTTGCACAGTTCATGAGAATAGTTAAAATATTCATTGAGATTAGCATGAAGATATGTATGCAGCTAAATATTAAAGTGTCATTAGTGAAAGACCAGAAGTACGATTATAATCTACAAACACTTAGAGAGGAAAGGGGGGCACTGATGAAACTTACTTCCTAAAAGAGAAAAAGCAAGAAGAGGCAAAGAAAAGAAGCAAACAGACAACTAATGGTAATGTATGAAACTCAAAATTACATGATAGGGCTTGATTTTTAAAATGACTAATTATAACAAGTGAATTTAATTTGTTAATTAAAAGACCAAGATTTTAAAATTGAATTTCTAAAAATTCAATTATATGCTGTTTAAACGGAACTAAAAAAAAAAAAAGGTAAAGATATAATGAAAACCAACCAAAAGAAAGCCGATATAGCCATTAGTAATGCCAGACAAAATAGATTTTAAGGTTAAAAAATAATTATTAGAGATAAAGAGGGTCACGACATCATGAAAGACAAATGATTTAAGAAAGATATATGAAATTCTAAGACTATGTATATTAAACTATGAAACCTAAAAATAAATACAGCAAAAAATGAGAGAATTATCAGGTGAAATAGAAAAATCTACAATAAGAATTAAACATTTTAATGCATTTATCTAAGAAATTACCAAATCAGGTAGAAAAATTATTATACATATATAATTTTTAAATGAGAAAATTCACAATTGATTATATACTAGTTAGCATTTATGATACCCATAGCTCATAATCAGAGAACATGCATTGTTTTTACACACCCATAGGAAATTTACAAAAATTGACCTCTTAATATGTCATAAAGCAAAATTTTCAAGTATGAAATAACAATATAATGGGACTATGTTCTTCTAACACAATATTTTAAATATCCAAAATAACAATTTTAAGTTAATTCAAAATGTTTATGTTTTAAAACATTTGGAAGTTTAAAAACACATTTTTAAGTAAACAGAAATTGTAGAACAGGACAAAATTAGAAATAAATAAAAATAAAAATACTATACCACAAAATGTAGCATTCATCAGTGCTTAAAAACACATATTAAAAACATGTTATTCCTGAAATTATGAAATAATTCAGAAAACTCTCTGGGAAATTATAAAATAAACAAACAAAATATTTACAAAAATTACAAAATTTATGTTAACAGAAAACTGGAAATAAATTATGATATATTCAGGTAAGGAAATATGATGTAACTATTAAAATGATATTGTAGGGTCAGATGGAAAATGCTTGATACAATTTTAAAGGGAAAAAAGCAATATACAAAATGATATACACATCACAGTGCCAGTTTCATTAAATATTTAATAAATGTAAATATTAAATATGCATTGAAAGGAAATAAATCTCAATAGAAAAGGTGATTTTCACTAGGTGGATGATTGGGTGATTTTTAAAATACATATTATTTTTACAAACAGCAAAATGAGCAAGTATTAATTTCCAGTAAAAAGAGAAAATTGTCCATATGAATGCATGAAATGTGAAAACATCAGGACATTAAGGAGTCAAGGAAAAGTTCGAGACGCATTCAGGTGCACTTTTAATGGTAAGACCTTTTAGGTCACCTCAAAGTTCAACAAATAGAAGCTAAACTTGCTTGAAGAAAAATGAATTACATGTTTAATATGTGCAAAGGACTTGGACGTGCTTGTACATGTGAACCATTCAGTTTCCATAGTGGTGGAAGGATTTTATTATCCCAGATTAGGAAAACAGTAACTTAGCAAGTGACATGATTATATAGACTGCAAGCCACTAAACTGGGACCAGCCCCAGAGTTGAGCCATTTCTAAGATGCCATAGACCCTGTAAATCACAGGGATCAGACACACCTGTACCCTTAATCCTACAGGAGTGGCTTCCACTCGTAATTGACAGCAGCCAAGGGCTCAACTCAAACCAACCAGATAAGAGGCCTATTCACGGCATCTGCAGGGCCCTTCTCACTTCACAACCATGCTGGTCTGTGCCCCATCGTAAGGGGGATTCTGAGGTGTTCAGTGCAGACCTTCCACTTTGGACTTCAAACTTGGTGACTGGATTTGTAGAACAGCGTTTGCTTCTTCTTGGACTCTGAGCATGTTTTAGGGTACTGCCAGCATACACAGCGACTCTCCACATCCTGCTCCCTTTTGACCACCTGCCCCACTAACGTCCTCTTTTTATCCCAGCTATGGCATGAGAAGATTCAGGGCTTAGTGATTTTCTAATCATCACCAAGGTTTTGATTGCTTCCAAGAGTTGGATGGTCTGAAGAAATGATGGCTAAGTATCCTTTCC